GTTTTCAACTGGATGGAGATGACGACGTGTGACAGCGGATTGATAGTCGTCTTAGCAATTAGCATTAGCTTCCAAAATTATTCTGTCCGTTTAGCGGTTTTGTGTTAAAAGATTAGTGRTTAGTGAACCTAACCTTTTGGTTAGCATACTGCAGATGTCTTTCATCTACTAGCACTACAAACCTAAGCCCAACATCTGTAATATTGGCTGAATTGCCGCCATTTTTGTGTTGTGGCAGCCATCTTTAATTGGGTTAAAATGTTATGGATGTGCATCCATCAATTATTTTCTGAGAGTTTCATTAAACCTGCCCGCTTGTGCACTTATGAGGGAATAAATTTGCATTAAAAACTTTAAAAGTCCAGACCCACAGTTTCTGCAGGATGTTAGCACCCTGACTAAAATTTGGGGTCCAAACAATTAATGTCCCCCACAAAAATACCTTCTTCTCATCTGAGACCGCACTCTCTGCGGGAGATCAGGCTGTCCTTCTGTCTGCTGCTGCTGCCCATGTAAAACAAGGACAGACAATTAGGGGCTTATTAGGGTTTTGGGGAGATGGACCTCACGGGGCATCCGCTCGCCGACTTGGCCCCAACTCTTATCCGCTGCCATAGCTCCAAACAGTCAGGGGCATTGTCTCACCTAATTACGTTGAAACCATGCACCCCCCCCCCTCCCTTTTTTTATGTTGCCACCGCTGTCCTTGTCACTTCACCTCTCCTGCATAACTGCCTGTCCCTATCTGCATGGAAATGTGCTAATTAGATGAGAAACAGGTCCGAGTAATTATGTCTTGTTAGGAGCTACCACAATGAGGAATATTATTTTTGTCAAGAAAGTTTGGGTGTTGGAGAGAAGGGGCTTATCTCATTATTGCAACAACACATCTGCACAAGCAGCAGAGTTCAAGTTCCTAACAAACTTCAGAGAACCAACAGAAGAAATGAGGACTGTAGAACGACAGCATGAAGTTATTGCCCTAATTAATGCTTTGTAGCTGGAGAATAAACCGATGGCACATTGTTTGGACTGTGGGAGCTTTTTGTTTCTTCACCCTTGGTAGGATGTTTTGATCAATGGCTGTTTGGTGACTCAGCTCCACTTCCTAAACATAGAGTTCTGGGAAATAAATGGCAATTAGCTTGATTAGAGGAGCCATTTCTGGAGCTTCTAACAAAGAAAAAGATGGGACCGAAGAAAACCAATGCAGGTTAGATTCATAACCAGAGTTTAGGACATTATGGGGCACCAAGTGTAAAATAAAATGTTGAGAAATGTCACTAACACGTTGTTATTTAGCTCACTTTCTGATCCTAAAAGGTTTTCATTAACATTTTATTGTTATTTCATTGTTCTTACATGTTGCTATTTTGTACAAAATGTTAAATTTAAATGTTAAATAATATATGTAAATACTAAATCCTAAATCTAAATATGTACATCTGGCTAAATTTTGAAGTTTAAGTTATTTCAGGTGATTGACTCTTGTTATGACATCATTATCCTGAGACAAAAGCAATCGCTGATGCTGCTAATGCTGCTAATGCTGCTAATGCTGCTAATGCTTCCCTACAAGACATCAAACTTGCAGTTCGATATCCGAGCTGCACTTCAAACTGCTGGACCACAGGTAGCATCTTTATTGTTTCTAATTAACACATTTTGAATTTAGATTTACCATCATCAGCGTTAGCAGCGGCTTGCTTTGACGTTTGTCGCAGGATGATGACATCATCCTGGTTAGCGTAGAGATCAGGATTTCCATCTTTGGCTCACCTTTGATCTCGCCGAGTTTGTTTGTCTGAAAACAGCTAAACTGAGAAAATTGTTCTGGAAGTTAAAAATAGTTTGAAGTGAATTTATTACACACCAGATATTGAAACAAGACAACCACATCGATTTATGAGAGCTCTCTGAGAGGGAAACAGCATTTACTATATTACTCTGTTTTTGCTGGGAGTATATGTTAAGTGTCAGGAGGACTGTGATCAGTTATACATTGGGGAAACAAAACAGCCACTGTTCAAAAGAATGAACCAGCACAGACGAGCTACATCATCAGGTCAGGACTCTGCAGTTTACACTCATCTACAGGCCAGCGGTCACTCTTTCAGGGATGAAGATGTTCTCATCMTTGATAGAGAGGAACGTTGGTTTGAGAGAGGAGTAAAGGAAGCCATCTTTGTGAAGAAARACCGTCCACCATTAAACAGAGGTGGAGGCCTTCGTGTCCAGTTGTCCTCCTATAACGCTGTTATTGCAAGTATGACTCAGCTCCCTGTAAGCAAAAGGTGAGAATCAGGGCCCCAATGATAGTCAGGTGATGGAGCACATGACCCTCTATGAACAATAGAGCTAATCAAGCCTATTGTTAGACGATGATCCKCTTTTGCATGTGACTAACCTGTTTGTCCAGGTGGAGGCAGTGCTTATAAGGCTGAGTTCACCTGAAACTCATCAGAATGAAGAAGTCTCTTGGAGGAGAGACGAAACGTTTCAGAAGTGAAAGTGGTTTCTCTTCACTCTGATCCCTGAGGAAATATTAATGGAAGTCCTGAAGAGAAAACCTCATTAGCAGCTGCTGATTCCTCCAATCGACCCAATGAAATTTCTCTATAATGACGGTTTTATTTCAGACATTTTCAGTGGTTGTGTGTATAAAACAGTGACATTAAAGACCTTTTTTAAATTTCAAACCTGCTATAAACGACATGAGACCTGCTGACGACTGACGGTCAAAGTGTGGCAGTCTGCCTGGGGGTGGGGGAGAGGAGACACCCAACAGTCCCACGGGAGCGGCCTTGTTATTTATTTATTCATCGCCACACAAGATGTTCTACTGCGCGTCCCCTCATCTCCATAAAGTGTCCCCTGTGTCCCGATTGTGCGTCCAGATGTCCAAAGCGTGCCGCCAATGATCTCCGCACCGCTGAGACTTCACGCGCCCTAATTGAATAATGGCTGATTAGAGGAGATTAGAGGACAGAGGAAGGGAGCATCTTTCACTTTGTGTCCAGGTTTGAGCTGAGTTTATTTTCGGGATGACTTCCTAAACTTCTCTGCTCTGGCTCTCACTTTCCAAATCAGATTAACTCATGGAAGCCTCACTCTTTGATTAAAAAAAACAACACAGAAACACAGATTTAAACTTAAACCTAAAGATGGGGGTCAATCTGCTGCTATTGTGCTCTGGTTTGGTGTTCGTCTCGTGTTTAACTGCCACCCTGATGTGTCCTAAATAACCCCAAACTGGGCCATCTTTACTGTGTGACCCCCCTGGAAGAATAATAGCCTAATATTAACGATAAAACCCGATTAACAGACGCACAGACTGCTCACTAARACAAAAGCGTTTTTGTTTTTTCTTTTTTCTCTTTCTCTCTCTTTTTTTTGTGGACAAACCTAATTAGAATATGCAAATGAGAGAAGCAGGAGTTTTTTTGGACGTTGGGTCAAAAAAAAATAAAATAAAACCAATAATCGATTTGTGATCGATTCACTGATGTCGGCTGCATTTTTATTCTATTTGCGGTTAGAATGAAAAAACGTTTTATTAAGGGTATTGGTATCAAAATAAAAGCCTAAAATTCAAGTTGATCTTACCCTTTTTTAATTATTTGCTGTTGTTGACTTAATATATTGTTTTTGTATTAATTTTGCTAAAGCAAATTTTGATATTTATTCGATTTGTTTAATGTTTTCAACTTTATTTAGATGATCAGCAACTAGGGGCTCTTTTTTAGTCTTTTTTTATACAGAAAAGATTCTGTAGTTTGTGTAACAGGTCTGTTAAGCTGATTTTTACTCATTAGTGGAGAATTTTAATGAATAAAATTCACTGTTTCTGAGCTTGTTGATGTTTTTCTGTTAGCTGTCATGATGTTTCCTCCACAAGCTTCATGTGTCAGAAACGCGCGGTCCCTGGCCTCTGATTGGTTCCCGCCTGTTGCCTGTCAGATTAAAAAAGCGCAGCAGAGATAAGGAGACATCACTGTTAGTCTGCCTCATCCCACCACCATGACGGGAAAAGAAGGACTCGTGTTTTCAGACGATGAGAACAAACAGAAAAGCGGCGGGAAACCTCCGGCCTGGAAGACGGGTCCCGCCGCGCAGCGCCGCACGGGCTTCGGGATCCAGGAGCTGCTCGGCCTCAACAAGGAGCCGCCGGCGGCCCCGCCGAGGAGACCCCTGGAGGCCCTGCCGCCCAGGGCGCACATCCTCACGGCCCTCGGACACGGCGGGATAGGAGTCGGGATGGGTTTACTTAGTCCGGATGGGATCCACCCGTTCTACGGACAGCCCGCGTTCCTGGAGGTCCTGTCGGAGGCGCAAACTGCGCACCTGCAGCCGCTGCACGGAGCGGCGCACCGGGAGCCGCAGATGGAGGCGCAACACTCCGGGGCCAGCTCCGGTGAGAGATTCAAATAAATAATATGAGGACTGGAAACTTTAATTTAATTTAACCCCTCCGGGTCAGAGTGTTTTTGTCAAAATTAAAAAAATATAATAGATATAAATATATCGATGGTTAAGACATTTGAAATAAAATCAATTAATTAAATTAAAAGAAATGCAACAAAACAAATTCCAATCCTCTAAAAAGTAATTTAATTACTTTTTTACTGTTTTTCACAATTTAAAAACGAATTTTTCAAAATTAACATAAAAAACACCTTAATGAAAGAGCTGTATTTTTTTCCTATCATGTCTAAAATTCCATCAAACGTTCTGTTTCATTTTATTATTATTAATGGCATGGCTGAAGGTTTTAACTCTTATTCCTGACAGATTCAGATTTGAGCTCCTCAGGTGACGCAAAGTTCTCATCATCATCAATCAACAAGAAAAGAAAGAAAAGAAGACACAGGTATTATTATTAT